AGATTTAGAAAAGATACGTTATTTTTTGCCTGAATTTCGTCCCAATGTTCACATAGAAAAAGACATAGATATGAACAGACCGAAATAGATAGATAGATAGATAGATAGATAGATAGATAGATAGATAGATAGATAGATAGATGAACGGGCTGAAATACATACATAGAAAAGACAGATACGAACAGACCGGAAATAGATAGATAGAGATAGATAGATAGATAGATAGATAGATGAACGGGCTGAAATACATACATAGAAAAAAGAGATATAGATAAGGAACAGACCGGGAAATAGATAGGAGGATAGATAGATATAGATAGATAGGATAGATAGATAAGGATAGATAGATAGATAGATAGATGAACGGGCTGGAAATACACATACATAGAAAAAGAGACATAGATATGAAATAGATTGAAATAGATAGATAGATAGATAGATAGATAGATAGATAGATAGATAGATAGATAGATAGATAGATAGATAGGTAGATGAACGGGCTGAAATATATAGAAAAGAGACATAGATATGAACAGACCAGAAATAGATAGATAGATAGATAGATAGATAGATAGATAGATAGATGAAATAGATAGATAGATAGATGAAAGAGATATAGATAGAAATGAAAAGAAATAGATAAATAGACCTAGATAGATAGATAGATAGATAGATAGATAGATGAGTGGGCTGAAATACATACATAGAAAAAGAGACATAGATATGAACAGACCGAAATATAGAGGATACATAGATAGATATAGATAGATAGATAGAAGATAGATAGATAGATAGATAGATGAGACATAAATATGAAAAAGAGACAAATAGAACAGATAGATAAATAGATAGACAGAGGATAGATAGGATAGATAGATAGATAGATAGATAGATGAACGGGCTGAAATACACATAGAAAAAGAGACATAGATATGAACAGACCCAAAATAGATAGATAGGATAGGATAGATAGATAGATAGATAGATAGATAGGATGAACGGGCTGAATACACATATGAACAGACATAGATATGAACAGACCTAGATAGATAGATAGGGATAGATAGATAGATAGATAGATAGATAGATAGATAGATAGATGATAGGATGAGTGGGCTGACAAAGAAAAAAATAGACATAGATAGAACAGACCAAAATAGATAGATAGATAGATAGATAGATAGATAGATAGATAGATAGATAGATCCTGATAGATAATATGAGCGGGCTGAAATACATACATAGAAAAGAGAAAAAGATATGAACAGTATCCTGGAAATAGATAGATAGAAAGATAGATATAGATAGATAGATAGATAGATAGATAGATGAATCCTGTCAAATATAAGCAAAGAAAAAGAGACATAGAGATAGAAGAGGAAGAAAAGATAGATAGATAGATAGATCCTGTCGTAATGAAGCGAGAAAAATAGAAATAGCATAGAAGAGAGATAGATAGATAGATCCCTGTATCCTGTCATAATGTAATAGATAAAAAGAGACATAGCATAGAAGAGGAAGATATGAATATCCCTGTATCCTGTCATAATGTAAGCAGAGAAAAAGAGATTGCATAGAAGAGGGAAGAGAGGTGTAATATCATCCCTGTATCCTGTCATAATGAAGCAGAGAAAAGAGACATAGATAGAAGAGGGAAGAGTGTGCTGCATATCATCCCTGTATCCTGTCATAATGTAAACAGAAAAGAAAAGAGACATAGATAGAAGAGGGAAGATAGATTAATATCATCCTGTATCCTGTCATAAAATATAAGCAGAGAAAAGAGACAGAGATAGAAGAAAGAGGGCTGAGAGAGAAAAAGAGACATAGCATAGAAGAGGGAAAGTAATATCATCCCTGTATCCTGTCATAATGTAAGCAGAGAAAAAGAGACATAGCATAGAAGAAATAGGAGTGTGCATAATATCATCCCTGTATCCTGTCATAATAGAAACAGAAAAAGAGACATAGATAGAAGAGGGAAGAGTGTGCTTAATATCATCCCTGATCCTGTCATAATGTAAGCAGAGAAAAAGAGAAGAAAAAAGCATAATCTCATCCCTGTATCCTGATAATGTAAGAAGAGAAAAAGAGAGATAGCATAGAAAGGGGAAGAGTGTGATTAATATCATCCCTGTATCCTGTCATAATGTAAGCAGAGAAAGAGACATAGCATAGAAGAGGGAAGAGCGTCATAATGTTAATATCATCCCTGTATCCTGTCATAATGTAAGCAGAGAAAAACATAGCATAGAAGAGGGGAAGAGTGTGCATAGATCCTGTCATAATGTAAGCAGAGAAAAAGAGACATAGATAGAAGAGGAAGAGTGTGATTAATATCATCCCTGTATCCTGTCAAATACATAAGCAGAGAAAAGAGACATAGCATAGAAGAACAAGAGTGAAATATATCATCCCTGTATCCTGTCATAATGTAAGCAGAGAAAAGAGAGACATAGCAGAAGAAAGGAAGATGAATATCATCCCTGTATCCTGTCATAATGTAAGCAGAGAAAAGAGACATAGCATAAGAGAATATCATCCCTGTATCCTGTCATAATGTAAGCAGAGAAAAAGGAAGATAGAAGAGGGATAGAGTAGATAGATATCATCCCTGCATCCTGTCATAATGAAAAGCAAGAGAAAAGAGACATAGATAGAAGAAGGAAATAGATGAGTTAATATCATCCCTGTATCCTGTCATAATGAGAAGATAGATGAAAAAGCTGACATACATATAAGCAGAGAAAAGGATTGCATAAAATCATCCCTGTATCCTCAGATAATGTAAGAGAGAAAAATAGACATAGCATAGAAGAGGGAAGAGTGTGCTTTGGACATCATCCCTGTATCCTGTCATAACGTAATAGTGTAGAAGAGGGAAAAGAGACATAGATAGAAAAGAGAGACATAGCATAGAAGAGGGAAGAGTGTGCATTAATATCATCCCTGTATCCTGTCATAATGTAAGCAGAGAAAAAAGACAACATAGCATAGAAGAGGGAAGAGGTGCTTAATATCATCCCTGTATCCTGTCATAATGTAAGCAGAGAAAAGAGACATAGCATAGAAGAGGGAAGAGTAGATGCTTAATATCATCCCTGTATCCTGTCATAATGTAAGAGAAAAAGAGAAAAAGAGACATAGATATCCCTGATCCTGTCAGAATCAGAGAAAAGAGACATAGCAAGAAGAGTGAAGAGTGTAGCTTAATATCATCCCTGTATCCTGTCATAATGTAAGCAGAGAAAAGAGACATAGCATAGAAGAGGGAAGATGTGCCTAATATCATCCCTGTATCCTGTCATAATAAAAGCAGAGAAAAAGACATAGATAGAAGAGGGAAGAGTGTGCTTAATATCATCCCTGTATCCTGTCATAATGTAAGCAGAGAAAAAAGAGACATAGCATAGAAGAGGGAAGAGTGTGCTTAATATCATCCCTGTATCCTGTCATAATGTAAGCAGAGAAAAGAGACATAGCATAGAAGAGGGAAGTATCATGCCCTTAATATCATCCCTGAAAGAGACATCCTGTCATAATGTAAGCAGAGAAAAAGAGACATAGATAGAAGAGGAAGAGGTGAAGATCCTGTCATAATATCATCCCCTGGGGAATCCATCCCTGTCCTGTCATAATGTAAGCAGAGAAAAAGAGACATAGCATAGAAGAGGGAAGAGGTGCTTAGATCCCTGTATCCTAATGTCATAAAAAGAGACATAGCAGAGAAAAAGAGAGTATAGTCATAGAAGAGAAGAGACATAGTAGAAGATTAAAGATCATCCCTGTATCCTGTCATAATGTAAGCAGAGAAAAGAGACATAGCATAGAAGAGGGAAGAGTGTGCTTAATATCATCCCTGTATCCTGTCATAATGTATCCTGTCAGAAACAGAGAAAGAGACATAGAAGAAGGGGGAAGAGGTGCCAATATCATCCCTGTATCCTGTCATAATGTAAGCAGAGAAAAAGAGACATAGCATAGAAGAGGGGAAGAGTGTGTAATATCATCCCTGTATCCTGTCATAAAAATAAGAGAAAAAGAGACATTGCATAGAAGAGGGAAGAGGTGCTTAATATCATCCCTGTATCCTGTCATAATGTAAGCAGAGAAAAAGAGACATAGCATAGAAGAGGGGAAGAGTGTGCTTAATATCATCGCTGTATCCTGTCATCATGTAAGCAGAGAAAAAGAGACATAGGATAGAAGAGGGAAGAGTGTGCTTAATATCATCCCTGTATCCTGTCATTATGTAAGCAGAGAAAAGGGACATAGCATAGAAGAGGGGAAGAGTGTGCTTAATATCATCCCTGTATCCTGTCATAATGTAAGCAGAGAAAAGAGACATAGCATAGAAGAGGGAAGAGTGTGCTTAATATCATCCCTAGTAAAAGAGACATAATAGAAGAGGGGAGAGAAAAAGAGACATAGCATAGAAGAGGGAAGATAGATAATATCATCCCTGTATCCTGTCATAATGTAAGCAGAGAAAAAGAGACATAGCATAGAAGAGGGAAAAAGAGTGTGCTTAATATCATCCCCTGTATCCTGTCATAATGTAAGCAGAGAAAAGAGACATAGCATAGAAGAGGGAAGAGTGTGCTTAATATCATCCCTGTATCCCGTCCTGTCAGAATGAGACAGCAGAAGAGGGAAAGTGTAGAATATCATCCCTGATCCTGTCATAATGTAAGCAGAGAAAAGAGACATAGAGAAGAGGGAAGAGGTGCTTAATATCATCCCTGTATCCTGTCATAATGTAAGCAGAGAAAAGAGACATAGCATAGAAGAGGGAAGAGTGTGCTTAATATCATCCCTGTATCCTGTCATAATGTAAGCAGAGAAAAGAGACATAGCATAGAAGAGGGAAGAGTGTGCTTAATATCATCCCTGTATCCTGTCATAATGTAACAGAGAAAAGAGACATAGCATAGAAGAGGGGAAGAGTGTGCTTAATATCATCCCCTGTATCCTGTCATAATGTAAGCAGAGAAAAGAGATAGCATAGAAGAGGAAGAGTGTGCTTAATATCATCCCTGTATCCTGTCATAATGTAAGCAGAGAAAAAGAGACATAGCATAGAAGAGGGAAGAGTGTGCTTAATATCATCCCTGTATCCTGTCATAATGTAAGCAGAGAAAAGAGACACAGCATAGAATAGAAGATAATGAAGCAGAGAAAAGAGACATTGCATAGAAGTGCTTAATATCATCCCTGTATCCTGTCATAATGTAAGCAGAGAAAAGAGACAGAGTAGAAGAGGGAAGAGTGTGCAATATCAGTATCCTGTCATAATGTAAGCAGAGAAAAGAGACATAGCATAGAAGAGGGAAGAGTGTAAATATCATCCCTGTATCCTGTCATAATGTAAGCAGAGAAAAAGAGACATAGCATAGAAGAGGGAAGAGTGTGCTTAATATCATCCCTGTATCCTGTCATAATGTAAGCAGAGAAAAAGAGACATAGCATAGAAGAGGGGAAGAGTGTGATTAATATCATCCCTGTATCCTGTCATAATGTAAGCAGAGAAAAAGAGACATAGCATAGAAGAGGGGAAGAGTGTGCTTAATATCATCCCTGTATCCTGTCATAATGTAAGCAGAGAAAAAGAGACATAGCATAGAAGAGGGGAAGAGTGTGATTAATATCATCCCTGTATCCTGTCATAATGTAAGCAGAGAAAAAGAGACATAGCATAGAAGAGGGGAAGAGTGTGCTTAATATCATCCCTGTATCCTGTCATAATGTAAGCAGAGAAAAAGAGACATAGCATAGAAGAGGGAAGAGTGTGCTTAATATCATCCCTGTATCCTGTCATAATGTAAGCAGAGAAAAAGAGACATAGCATAGAAGAGGGAAGAGAGTGATGTAATATCATCCCTGTATCCTGTCATAATGTAAGCAGAGAAAAAAGAGACATAGCATAGAAGAGGGGAAGAGAGGGAAGAGTGCAGAGAAAAAAAGAGACATAGCATAGAAGAGGAAGAGTGTGTTAATATCATCCCTGTATCCTGTCATAATAAGAGAAAAAAGAGACAGAGAAAAAGAGACATCCCTGTATCCTGTCATAGAAGAGAAAAGGACATAGAAGAAGAGGGAAGAGGTGCTTAATATCATCCCTGTATCCTGTCATAATGTAAGCAGAGAAAAAGAGACATAGCATAGAAGAAGGAGAAGAGACATAGTGAAGAGGGAAGAGTGGAATTAATATCATCCCTGTATCCTGTCATAATGTAAGCAGAGAAAAAGAGACATAGCATAGAAGAGGGAAGAGTGTGCTTAATATCATCCCTGTATCCTGTCATAATGTAAGCAGAGAAAAGAGACATAGCATAGAAGAGGGAAGAGTGTGCTTAATATCATCCCTGTATCCTGTCATAATGTAAGCAGAGAGAAAAAAGAGACATAGCATAGAAGAGGGGAAGAGTGTGATTAATATCATCCCTGTATCCTGTCATAATGTAAGCAGAGAAAAAAGACATAGCATAGAAGAGGGAAGAGTGTGCTTAATATCATCCCTGTATCCTGTCATAATGTAAGCAGAGAAAAGAGACATAGCATAGAAGAGGGAAGAGTGTGCTTAATATCATCCCTGTATCCTGTCATAATGTAAGCAGAGAAAAGAGACATAGCATAGAAGAGGGGAAGAGTGTGCTTAATATCATCCTGTATCCCTCATATCCAGAGAAAAGAGACATAGCATAGAAGAGGGAAGAGTGTTTAATATCATCCCTGTATCCTGTCATAATGTAAGAGAGAAAAGAGACATAGCATAGAAGAGGGAAGAGTGTGCTTAATATCATCCCTGTATCCTGTCATAATGTAAGCAGAGAAAAAGAGACATTATAGAAGAGGGAAGAGGTGCTTAAGTATCCTGTCATAAATGTAAGCAGAGAAAAGAGAGACATATCATAGAAGAGGGAAGAGTGTGCTTAATATCATCCCTGTCCTGTCATAATGTAAGCAGAGAAAAAGAGACATAGCATAGAAGAGGGAAGAGTGTGCTTAATATCATCCCTGTATCCTGTCATAATGTAAGCAGAGAAAAGAGACATAGCATAGAAGAGGGGAAGAAAAGTGATAGATTAATATCATCCCTGTATCCTGTCATAATGTAAGCAGAGAAAAAGAGACATAGCATAGAAGAGGGAAGAGTGTGCTTAATATCATCCCTGTATCCTGTCATAATGTAAGCAGAGAAAAGAGACATAGCATAGAAGAGGGAAGAGTGTGCTTAATATCATCCCTGTATCCTGTCATAATGTAAGCAGAGAAAAGAGACATAGCATAGAAGAGGGGAAGAGTGTGCTTAATATCATCCCTGTATCCTGTCATAATGTAAGCAGAGAAAAAGAGACATAGCATAGAAGAGGGAAGAGTGTGCTTAATATCATCCCTGTATCCTGTCATAATGTAAGCAGAGAAAAGAGACATAGCATAGAAGAGGGAAGAGTGTGCTTAATATCATCCCTGTATCCTGTCATAATGTAAGCAGAGAAA